TATTAATTCCCCAAAGTACCCAAACTACCCTTCACTTAGTTGTACCTTTTAAATAGGTCAAACTTGAGTTTTATTTTCGCAGATTTTGTCGGGAAACAAGTTCGCGACGCGGAGGTGTTCCCACAAGTTTTCTGGAAATTAAATTCGAGACAGTAGAGTCCGCGACATGTCCGCGACCCAGACCAAACTTTTGGCCCTTGGTAGAGCTAGTTTGCGCGCTGACATGCTCCCTCCAAGCACAATCTCAAGCTGCTTTGGCAGCTTGCTTGGTTAAGGTTGGGGTCCTCATCGGGGATCCTTAGGGTGGTCCCCGGGGCGTCGTATCTGAACGTTTTGACCCTAAAAACATTTAATAAGACGCTAGGGTCACCTCCACTGATTTTATACTCCAAACAACACATAAAATCATGAACAACATACTAGAACACACCAACACGTCAAAGACTAGTTTCTGAACGTCTTGTTCGTCCCTTGATGTTTGACTTCCAAACTCTTTAAAACTTACTTAAAAGGCTATTCTTCATTATTTTGACAAGTTATTAATGCATAAAACCCATGTGAGGCTCTATTTTATCCTACTTTATTTTGAGGGTCGTTACAATTTGGGTCTAGCCCATACATCATGTTCAAACCTAAAAATAAGGAAGAACCACTAGAAGAAAAGAGTAAAATTGTGACGGAATATTTGGAACGGAGAAGTTTGTCACAAATTGTCACGGAATTTTGACGGATTTGTGACAGATTAATCTTATATAAATAAAAAAATTTAAAAGAATTTTTTACCTACTAAAATTCTGATAGTGACGGATTTGTGACAGATTTATAACAAATATTTAATATAAGTTTTGTGACAGAACATTTCCGTCACAAAATGATAGCAAATAAAACTAAATGAAATATGTCGTCACAAAATCATCACAAAAATTATGACGGACTTACATTCCGTCTCAATTTAATAAAAAGACAACAAATTATAAAATCTTTAACTTAATGAACCATTTTTCCGCGAAAATTTTAAAAATATTAGATCACCTTTTAACTTTCCCCCAAAATTTTCAGCACTTTTAGTTTTCCCACCTTTAACTCTTTTATTCCATTAGAAAATTAGGGTTCAAGAGAGAAGTGAGAGAACTACAATGGGTGTTCATCCTTTCTTCTACCTCTCACTCTTTCAACACTATAGTTGTGATTTGGAAGGCATCTAAACTTTGATTCCGTTGCGATATTGCTCATAGGTATGAATCTTTTCTTTTCATTTTATCTACAATGAACAATATTTTGATTCTTTATACTCTTGCTGAGATTCGTCCCTATTTTTCTTGAATCGATGTTATAAAGTGAATAATTTTTAGTTTTTGATATTGGGTCCATTATACTCTTCACTATTATATAGCTTTTTTTTATGGGTATTCATCAAATTATTAAAATTGGATCCTTTACCTAACTGATTTGGGTGTAAGTTTTAATATTTTTTTATGTGTGTGTATTCATATAGGTTACAACAGATTTACACATACAACAAGCTTTAGTGGAGGCATGTTGCCATTAGATTTTGTCATTGATGTGCTAAAATTCACAACTTTTTTGATGATTGGTATCTTCTCTATAGTGTTGTTATTCTTTCAATTTTTTATATTCTTTATGTTTTTCTTGGATAGTAAACAAATTTGGAGTTGTCATTGATGATCTAAAGTTCATATGTATGGTTGGTCTTAGCTTCAATTTTGATGAATTGCATTCTCTTGTTGCATTTATTAGGTACTGTTAGATAACAAAAAAAAAATCAAAAATTTTTGGTTATAGATTAGAACGATTTGGTTGGTTTTTGAAGGTGAATGTTTCAAATTTGAAGAACTGAAATTTTTTCACTCACTTACAAAACTTCAACTTCTTTTTTTAAAGTCAAATGCATGTTCAAACACAATTTCAATTTTCAATACAATTTTTCAACTTCATGAATA